ATGTCAAACCAGGTCCATTTGTGCCGGGTGGATGATTGGTGTATATTAACATTTAGAGAGTATTTCAACCTACTCGACTCCAAATGGATAACTGAAGCGTATTCTTGCAGCTCTGATCATCTTCTTCATCACTTATGGAGCACCATGTTCATGTGCCTAATGGGCTGTGCAAAGAAAATGTTGATCCAGATAAGAAGAGGCTTTGAAACTGGGTCGCGACCTTTCATGATCAGTTGCTTGGTTTTCAAGAGAACGAAGGTTCGGTGAATGGCAGTTCTAGGTCGTTATCATTCAAATGTGTCTACTATCCTTGATTTAATGATGTCTGTAAATTTATCAATTAATGACTACATATTTTTATGGAAACAATGTCTTTGTTTCACACTGAGCACACTGGGCAACATGCTATGTGGCGTACTCGTCTTATAATATAAAACATCGAAGCCAGAGAATAACCAGTCTTGATTATCCGCCGAAACGGGGCACGGGTGGCCCAGTCGTCCAAGGCGCCGCGATTCGCTGTGCAGGGTTGCGTCCCTTGGGCTCGCCAGAAACCTATGATTGATGGTTCGAATCCCGTTTCGCCCCGATTCTGTTTCTAGGTTTGTCAGCACCATACCCGTGCTCGTGGGTTTCACCGAAGTTGTAAACGTCTGAGACCTGCATCACTTCCTTCCCACATTAAGCTGACACACCGCAGAATAACTGGAATACTGTTTAAAGCGGCGTTAAACCCAACTCACTCCCATTCTGCCGAAACAGATTCCATTAGTCGTAAGCGGCAAAACAACAGTGGAAATTATATGAATAGATCACTGAAAAGCAGTGATGACACCAGGTGTTCGCTAACAGAGTAAACATGCCCTGCCCTACCGTTAGCAAACGCCGCTCACACAATCTGCATAATGTTCGTTGACTGATGCCGCACTGGAGCACTCCTTCAAGTCAATGGTGCTGTTTCAAGGTTCCTATGTAGTTGCCTCTCGTTATCAGGAGTCCTTTGTTTCTTGGTAAACTTGTGGCTCGAAGTTCACATGCGCACTTATATTTTCCTCTGTGTTGTAACCTGGGTTACTCCATAACAAATTGATTTCAGATTTTCTTGTCTTTAGTGGATAATTTATTGTGTCAAACGATAATAGATCTTACGATTTTAAAAATCGTTTTCTTAGCACCTTGGTGGGGAAGCGTTTTGTCCCTGGGGTAATGTTTAAACTGATTATATCAATTTGTGGAGGACAATCTGACGCATCGGTGTTGGAAGATGCGTCCGATGCGGTCCCTGTCTAGACCATGTGTTCCCTTGTTCCCGTGTTCCCGTGTTCCCGTGTTCCGGTATTCCTTCCTGGTCAACAACTGGCTTACCTTTGCGCGTTCTGTGGCGGATATCGCCGGAAGGGCAAGGTGCGCTAGCCTTTTCGCGTATCATGTACTTGTCATGACTGTACCACGGTCCTGGGGTTGATGACTGATATAATTTACGTTCAAATTCCGTTTCTGGAGGAAAGTTTGTGAAAAGTTTAGATTTGTAAACTGTTTTGTCCTTTCGTTACGCAGGAAAAACACCTCTAGAGAATACAGGAAATACCAACCCACGCATTTTAATGTGTTGATCTTTGCTGTGATCGGCCAATTGAAATTTGGATTGCTTGTTACTGATTAACAACCGGACATTATCAAATTTCTAATTATATGTGATTTGGAATTCTTTTCTATATGTTTACATTTATCAATGAGATCATTTGCAAGATCCCGGATGAATTCGGGAAGAGTCCTGTAGTTTCCGGTTCTGTGTATGCCCTTATCAAACACATGTTTGCCAGTAACATATAAATATAAAACGTGAACGCCAGAGAATAGTCTCAATTATCTGCCTAAACAGATTCCTTTGGCGCAAACGGCAAAATAGTGGTGAAAATAATATAATTGGATCACTCAAAATCAGTGATGACACCAAGTTTTCGCGAATGTTTACAGTTTTATAAACAGCGGCCAAGGTCGAAATCCAATGACTTTATATTTGAAATTCGTATGAACGATGACGGTTGTGGGTAGTTGTTAGAAAGTGGTTCGTTAGCCGATATTCTCATTGAAGAGACTTGAGCGATTCGACACAAACTTGCTGAGACTGACCATTTGATCGCGCTTTGTCTTCCTGTAACACAATTTATATCGGTGTGGACCGTTCCGCCATTTGTCGTGACTCCGCTCCTGAAATAAGCATATGACAAATACAAGGGCGAGCTATAACGCCCCTAATGATGTACACTCTGATCTCCGATGAGGGCAGCCATGAGATACCCTTTAGAAAGTATACACATAAAAAACAGGGAGACTCGTTCAACCCGCGGCAGTTCTGTTAGGATCAGACTGAAGTGCTCTATTGCCATTGTGATTCTGATCGAGAGTTCCACGCACAGTGTCACTTGATAATATAAAGATTAATAACGGCGGTGAAACCCTTCACCTGTAAATACTCTCGGTGTCATGAGTGATGCACTTTGAAACAACATGTGCCATGATTCGCGTGTTCGTGTGGAATTGTGTCTCAATTCCTGACATTGCAGATTACCATTTCTGCCACGACTCGCCAATACCGTGACAACAAACACTATTCGGTTTCCCTGACATCGACTATTTGCAAAGATTCTTCTAACATAATCACCGTGTTTTCAATTATGATTTAATACAAATGAAAATAAGTAAGCTATAGTCTTAAATCAAACACATGCAACGCTTTTAAGGTCGTCGAATATATACTCACCGCCAAAAGAAACGCGAATACCATACACGTTGGTTATTATATGAAGACCTATATTCAAGCGATATTAGATTGGCTCGATGCACAATGAACATACTGGTATGTTGTGTGAACCGGTGCTCATGAACGCATCACATGTGACGTCATAGATCCATGACTCGAGATGCACCATTTGTCTCGTGCAGGATAAGCGTGTAAAGTTTGGAAATCACGTGCCGCATATCGTGATAGGAATAACGACACTCTGCGGAAACACTTGACTGATTGTAAGTTTTGTTATAAAGTGGTACACATTGGAAACATATCTGCTTAACGTACATATGTCTATATATGTTTCTATGGTTCACGTTTCTTTTGCGGTGAGTATACTTATATAACATTATTCTAAAATGAAAGTTGTTAATACATCGTCCTCCAGAACAGTTCAGAGACAATATGCAGATTGTTTTAGAATGAATATTCTTCAGACAATTGTTTGGCAGACAATGTAACAAAACAGTCTTGTAATTTCTCCTAATAAATGACATTTCAATTCCCTTGGGAATATATGACTTTAAGAAAAAACAGATTAACGACATTTCCCGCTTTTTTTGTTGACAATTGAAAACATCAGTTCGTTTTTTTAAAATAATGTTCCTTATCTTTAGGTGGTTTATCTTTGAACACGCAAAACCATCGATCACGGCAAACAAACGTATACCGACACGACTACGCCGAAAGATTTCTTTGATCTTTGCCATCGTAAACACGAATGTATTGCCATCTTGAGAGGATAACATGGTGTAGAGCAAAGAGACACAGTTTAAACTAGGCTTGTGATACAACACATTTAAAGCTTTTTCGTTCGAACGCGGATGTAATACAATCTTTAGATAGTTAAAATTATGTGGCAAGTTTGCAGAGTTTTTGTCAAAGTGATGTATGTGTTTGGGTTGCTACTTTGATGTTTTTGGCAATAATTGCACCCACAAAGGAACACCACCACTGCATGCTGTCCCTTCACAGGTGGTACAATGATCCGAACGAATCGATCGTTTGTATTGATTTGTTTACCGACTCTGTTCAATGTGAGACTGGCGTTCTTTTTTTCCAAACGGGAATTGACGTCATCGTAGCTCTTGAGTAAATGAGAAGGCATTGAAACATTTTTTATTTAGAGAACATTATGTTCTGCACTCGTTGACTTACTTCCTTACTCATGTTAGATTAAATTGTATTAAAGTATCAAAATATTAAAATATCAATGGATTTTATGGATTTTGATAAAGAACAATACAAGGCATGCCTAGATACAATGGTATTATAGAATAGCACTTACGACTCACACGAACAGATTTGACCAGCTGATATAATATCATATCTATTGATCGCCTCATTCTGATTAAGTTAAAAAGGCACCTGCTATGGCATATTCAGAGTGGGATAAGCTATGAACATTTATTAGGTGAACTTTCAATAAAGTATAATTCGACTCGATATGATTATAAAAGTTGGTATAAAGTACAATACCTTCATGTACACGTTAATTTATTTAGTGGAAAGTCAAAGGAAAACAAATAAATAAATGACGTCATCCAGGGCTCAATACGTAATATGTTTTAAAAGGAGGTATTGGTTATGAAGAGAATGGCATACGGAATTGCGAATTGTCATTAGAAGAACTATGATTATTATCGACATTTCATAATTGTTTGGTGACTAATTGAAGGTAATTTGCGAATGTTCACTCAATGCTTAATCTCCCAAAAGAGGCACGACCCGTGAAGATCCGTGGTAAAATAGGTCCTCAGCAAACAATGCCTACCGTAAAAAAGCGACTATGCTTGTCGTAATAGGCGACTAAAGGGATCGGGTGGACAGGCTCGCTGATTTGGTTGATGCATGTCATCGTATCCCAGTTGTGTGGATCGATGCTCATGATGTCAATCACTGGATTGTCAGGTCCAAACTCGATTATTTACAGACCGCCGTCATATAGCTGGAATATTGCTGAGTGCGGCGTTGAACAACTAATAAACAAACACACAAACCAAAGAGGCACAGATTACCATGCTGTTTTGGGCGCTTGGATGTTTTTTCACATTGATCCTATTTGCTGGACAAGTTATGACACGTGGATCCTGGGCATACAGGGAATGCCTTTGTAAACTATATATGTCACGTGTTACTTTAGGTCTTCCAGCTTATGTTTATCGCTCGATGGCTTCCTCTATACATGCCTGTCGCCTTGTCTCTCCAGGTGCCCAGTGTAACAGAGAAACGGTGGAGAACATCGAGTGGACGAGGACGAAGGCGGAGAACAACATCAGCATCGTGTGCCCTGGGCAGGAGGCAGCGGAACAGAAGAACCTCACTGTGGGTAGGTACCATGCTTGGCCAATTGCTCAATGATGGTCCCGTGAAGAGGTTGATCAGACTAGCCCTCCGTACCCCATGTTTGCCGAAAACAGAATTCGTGATTGGATGATGTTTAAAGCCACAGGTAGCAATTTTCTAAATATTGAGTGAGTGAGTGAGTGAGTGAGTATGGTTTTACGCCGCTTTTAGCAATATTCCAGCAATATCACGGCGAGGACACCAGAAATGGGCTTCACACATCGACCCATGTCGAGAATCGAACCCGGGTCTTCGGCGTGACGAGCGAACGCTTTAACCACTAGGCTACCCGACCGCCCCTTTCCAAATATTATCCAACGACCTGGAACAAAGAAACCAATGAGTGATAGCATGATTTTTTTGTTTATTAGTTGTTCAACGCCGCACTCAGCAATATTCCAGCTATATGACGGCGGTCTGTAAATAATCGAGTCTGGAGCAGACAATCGAGTGATTGACATCACGTGCATCGATCTGCGCAATTAGGATACGATGACATGGATCAACCATGTCAGCGAGTCTGACCACCCGATCCCGTTAGTCGCCTCTTACAACAAGCATGGGTTGTTGAAGATCTATTCTAACCCACGTCTTCACGGGTCTGAGCAACAACTCACGCAATCACACAGTCTGGCCACTGGATCCTCCATTGTAGCATTTACGATAAGCATGAGGTACTCAGGGCCTATCTAACCTAGGACCATCGATGGATATCGCGTCATCCGTGGTTCAAGTTAATGATGCACTATGGTCCTATCCTGACCCTGGCCCATTTTCAGTTTCTAGTGTTCCGCAGTTCCACGTTTCACTGTTTCATGACGTTCATGTTTCTAAATAGATGAGACCCAAAATTGTACATACCGTATTCAACGTAATAAGCGCCCCGCTCTTATAAGCGCCCACGGCGATATTTCCTAATATATTGGCTAGCGAACAATCCCAATTAGCACCCCTTCCGATTGATCAATGTACACAAGAATTATTTGTTCGCGTATAATACGCACTCATGTGCAATTATGGGCAATTAAATTCTGGAACAATATATCTGCCGTATATAAACATTTCAGGCTGTCAGCATAAACCAAGAAATTTACCATTCAACTCTGTTTGTTTTTTACCAAAATGATATTCTAATAACAGCCCCCTATTTCTAATTTTGAAAGCGCCGTGGGCGCTTATTACGTCGAATACGGTAAATCCAGGTACTCGTACACAAAAAGACCCCAGCGCAACGACAATAGTAACTCAGTACTATAACAGTATGACGATAGGCGTATTGATGAGATACCTTTGTAGAAAGAGGCCCAGAGCACGTGTAGCTTCGTGGAATGGTAATGGTATAAACCTACAGTCGAGGGATGCTGTGAGAGACGGTTTGGGCATGTAAGCCTATTGATAAAGTGACTCGACGTATGAAGAACTGTCTGGTGCAGATAAACTGGAGTGGACACTTGCATTGAAAAAGTACAGCGCATCCAGCACAATCAGGTACTCAAGTTCGCACAGCCGTCTCTAAACCACATGTAACTGGGCAGACAAAGATGAAAAAAGTAGCTCGAGGGAGAGCAAAGCAAAGAGAGATCCAATTCAAATTATGGAATGATGCACACATAATCTGAAGGAAACGAAACGTATTGTATTTATGTACATGTATTTATGTTATGTTCAGTTAGTGGGTGGAACGCTAATGCAACAGTTTGTAGATTTCCTATTTCAAGTTACTTTCCATTTTGGAAAACCAAGGTAACTGGGTTCCGTTTTGTAGCGCTACGACCGTCGTGAGTCGATGAGAGTTAGACTCGTAGTACTGGGGCTGCTTCTTGAAGCAAGGCCAAGTCCTATACATGTTCCAGAACAGGTATACATGTAGTTCTAGTCTTTGAGTGACATAAATAATTGCTATATATGAGAGAGAATTTATGGATGTCAACTTCTTTGTTTTGAGGAACACAACGTTTCGAAGTATATACCCCTTTATTAGGTGATGATGCTAGGATGCAGATGGCATATATATGTACGTGTCAAAACAACAAGGGTAATAACTTTGTGTTCCTAATAAAAATGCAGTTGGACATCCATACATTCTCTCTCTTAGGTATAGGTCTGCCGGATAAGGGAGTGTTGTTGGAGCGAATTCAGGATACAGATTTCCATGCAGCAGACCTGAAGCTCTCGTTACTGAGTGCGGATATGAAATTGGATCAGAAATATTGGAATCTGGCGATCTTGTTCCACAAAGCATTATAAGACTCGGTCGTAATTCCATACGCTTAACATGGACTTCCAATAGCTAAGACGCTTTGTGAAGCCCTGACCAGCAAACCAGGGTGTATCATGGTTCAGTCGATTCTGATCAATGTTTTCATTATGATAACCAAATCTGGCGAGTAAATACCAGTGTCTGTATATACAACACGTCTATTGATGAGATGCAAATCACTATCGGCTTGCCAGTGCTTACATCCTAAGCCTTCTTCATCATGCTCGGAAAAGTCTGTTTCGTACTCTGTAGTGATTCAGCACATCGTCCCGGTCAATGTGTTCGTGGTCAATGGGGTTCATCCTTAAATATTTACCGGTGTTTTATGTGCAAGTTGAGGGGTCACGCTAACTGATCGACCAGACACAACAAGCTTAAGGTGGAGACGAGCACGAGCATTGGGAATCTGATTAGTCCGTGCAGGGCACTGATTAAATGCCACAGATCTTTATATTGTATTGGTGTGTGTCGACGCGAAAGGTCATAAGCAAATTTACTTCCAGATGTTTTAGTCTGTGATAGCACAGCTGTTTCTTGAAGATCCGGAAAAAACATGTTCACGTTTCCTCTTTAAGTACATGTAACCTTTGCCAAATAGAAGACTATATCTTTGCCTGAAGACCTGCAATAAAACATACATACTTACATGGCACATGGCGAAATTGTTTTGGGGAATTATATTGATGCGTAAAATACGCATTCGATTGTGATATGATTTGATTAACCTATGTATAGAAAGAAATGAAGTAACTTTATTCACAACCATCTTTATCCTGTCATAATAACATTGAAATGAATTGGTGTCAAATTCAACTTAAACATATTTTAATAAACAATAATAGTTTTAGTGAGTGAGTTGGGTTTAGCGCCGCTTTTAACATTATTCCAGTTATATCGCGGCGTGTCAGCTTAATGTGGGAGGAAAGCCCGAAGTGATGCAGGTCTCCGACTTTTACCACTTCGGTTAAACCCACGAGCACGGGTATGGTGCTGACAAACCTAGAAACATAATCGGGGCGAACCGGGATTCGAACCCACAATGGCGTTTCTGGCGTGACCAAGGGACGCAACTCAGCACAGCGAATCGCAGCGCCTTTGACGACTGGGCCACTCGTGCCCCCTAATAATTTAAGAATACGAACAGTAATAATTCGAAACTATAATATTATCTATTTATTAAGGTCATGTTAGCCACCAACAATCTTCACTCAGAAGAACTGAAAATTATACATTCACGGTTTTATATCAGACCCTTGATTTCCATCTAACCCATATAATAGGAAAAGATAACGTATATAATTTTCCCAGTTTTTCCTTACTTCCAAAGGAACATTCTGTCGATATACCAAAAATTACATCCGAGCAGAAAATTATATACCCATTGATCTTGCTAACGGTTTCAAGACACCAAGGTATTTTCCCCAGAGTTGATTAGCGGTTCTGTTCCGACCGTCTGTAGAAGGCAAAACTGAACAGACTAGGTATGGTGATGTATATTATGATCAGCCACAGACACCTTCCCACCAAATACAATGGTGCCGTCCTTCCTACAGAGGACCAGACCAGCCGTGGTTAACGATGAAACAGTTTCCTGCGTCCTCATCAGCCACAATGCGCATTTGGAGGATCAGCAAATAACACGCACATTCACAACCATGCTCTATAAAGAATTCCAGAGTTGCTTATCGATTGAGGCGAAACCCTTTTGACTTCCATCATCCTGTTACGACACCTATCTGCTATACTGGTTGGCAGCAGGCAGTCATTGAAAGCCTCGACTGGAGGAGGGAGCGGAGAGGATTTCTCCAATGGTTTCATGCTTATCTCTATAGGCTGCTGAGGATGACAGTTCCAGTTGTCACCTTTGATGGATCGGGGATGTAAATAACTCATATCCTCTCTCTGACCTTGTGTGAGTGACGTGACCTTGCTGCTAGCCCGGCAACTAATAAACTATTATCTGGCCAAGTTTTCAGCGTTTGATGCCTGTCTAGACAAAATCAGAAGGTCTTTCTCTGATGGTAGAACCCCCTCTCATCATTGCAGCTTCAAGCATCTTTAAGAGATTCCTGTACATGAAAATAACATTAAAGCTGTGTGTGGTATAACGGCGTGACTTTGGCTTATCTCAAATGTACATTTGTGTTAATCATTGCACTGCAGAAAAAGACATCAAAAGTTACTTGAAGTTTATAAACGTGATCAGCAAGCCACTGAGTGGGGAAAGTGATTTAAAGTTGGAAAAAAAATCAACCATTACTCACGATTAATGTGTTTATGAATAAAACTATTGGATAATGATTTAAATGCTGTTTATACGAGCTCACGTCAGGGTTATAAAAGAGCCTGTCTGGGAGAAAACATGAATACTTTGTTTCTTGGGCAAAGGCGAGAGAGATGAAGACTTTACATAAGGGTCCGTGTCGTAGCCGATTAGATAAGTAATGTAAATTTACTATTAAAGGTTCCTCTAATTCAGATCGTATTTGAATACATGAATTTTCTCTGATTTCTTTGAATAAGAAATTTAGAAGCAATTGGAATATATTGACTTATTTTTTGTGATATTGGTGCAATCTCCTAACGTCCCTATAACTATCATGAAACAGTGTATTTAATCATTCTCCAAAGAACTGTGGGGCTAGCGGTAAGGGCAAGGTGTTCGCTCGTCGGGGCGATGACCCGGGTGCAGTAATGCACATGAACGCAATGTTTGAAGTCCTTTGTTCGTGTGCACCACAACACTATAATTAGACGCGTAGGACATAATCACCTACTCTATTCTGTATTCCTGGCAGATGCTAGGTCAATTGCCCAGTGCTACACTACATCACTGACCCCCAACACGACTGGGCTAAAGGAGGACGGGGTCTTTTGGTCAATCTGCAGTCCTGACAAATTTCATTCAATTCACTTCTAAGACTCACTTTGCTTGATAACTCAATTTTATTATTTCGTTAGTCAGTAGTTAGATATTACCATTACTACATAGGTTTTTTTTAAATAAAGAGACAAAAGCCTTTCCCAGAGTCTAAGGCATCATAACCGAGTGTCTAAGGCATCATAACCTAGAGTCTAAGGCATCATAACCAAGGGTCTAAGGCATCATAACCTAGAGTCTAAGGGATCATAACCTAGAGTCTAAGGCATCGTAACCTAGAGTCTAAGGGATCATAACCGAGTGTCTAAGGCATCATAACCTAGAGTCTAAGGCATCGTAACCAAGGGTCTTAGGCATCATAACCTAGAGTCTAAGGGATCATAACCTAGAGTCTAAGGCATCATAACCTAGAGTCTAAGGGATCATAACCAAGGGTCTAAGGCATCATAACCTAGAGTCTAAGGCATCATAACCTAGAATCTAAGGCATCATAACCTAGAGTCTAAGGCATCGTAACCAAGGGTCTAAGGCATCATAGCCTAGAGTCTAAGGCATCATAACCTAGAGTCTAAGGCATCATAACCTAGAGTCTAAGGCATCATAACCAAGGGTCTAAGGCATCATAACCTAGAGTCTAAGGCATCATAACCTAGAGTCTAAGGCATCATAACCTAGAGTCTAAGGCATCATAACCTAGAGTCTAAGGCATCATAACCTAGAGTCTAAGGGATCATAACCGAGGGTCTAAGCCATCATAACCTAGAGTCTAAGGGATCATAACCTAGAGTCTAAAGGATCATAACCGAGGGTCTAAGGCATCATAGCTAGGGATCTAAGAGGTCTTAACCGAAGGTCTAAGAATCTCCAATTGCAGTCCTTGGTGTGTCATCCCATTACATTTTTTTTTTTTGGTGCGGGGTGGTGGTCACCAAACAGACAAATATCTATGACCCACTATCCAGTTAGTGCTAATGGTATATATTGTCGCTTTTGCTTCAAACACAATATATGCGTAGAGACGAGGGGATATCTTGCACACAATGTAAAATTCTTTGAGCGCCGGTAATATGTTTTATTTAGAATATTTCATTTGAAGTTATTTGAATCTTCTTAGTCATGAGAGGTCGCCTTTGGACCCCCCAGTACCCCATGTTGGCAGAAAGAGACCCATAACATTGGGGATCGGGTGGTCGGGGGCGCTGACTTGGTAGATGCATGACATCGTATCCAAATTGCGTAGATCGATGCTCATGAGGTCAAACACTGAATTGTATTGTCCTTACTTGATTTTTGTACAGACCGACGTCATATAGCTTGAATATTGCTAGGTGCGGCGTTAAACAACACACAAAATCATATGGACAGGCTTAGGTTTAACCTTTCTTTTCCAACACGTGACACAACATACTACTGTTAGCGTAATTGTTTGTGGGACGGACCGCCGTCATGTAGCTGGTATGTTGCTGTGTGTGGCGTTAAAGAACATAAAAAACAAACAATAATTAGATTTACCTCAATGCGTAACACCAAGAAACTATAGCCTGGCTGCTTGAGTGTAGCTTTTAACCCCAACGACATGGATCTTTGCGCACACCAACAAGCAGCTGTTCACCTACAGGGGCTCACCTGCAGTGGTTCACCTACAGCTGTTCACCTACAGGGGCTCACCTGCAGTGGTTCACCTACCCGCCCGTGTACACATGGCACGGGACACATGCACCGTCGAGTAAAACTGACAGCCTTACCCCCTCACACCAATAACTCACTCTTTCAGACTACGCGACAAGAGCCTGTCAGCTCCAAGAGAACGACAACAACGGCATCTGGGACATCCCCCACATCGATGACTGCATCTCGGAAGACCTCATGGACCTCAAAACAGAGGTATTCATTTTGGGCTCTATGGTCGGGGCATCCTGGCGTTCTCCCGTAATCGTTATTTATTGTATTGATACTTTCATGCTTACTGTCATAAATACCATCTCTTAAATATGAATTTGAGTTGAAACCTTTAAGGGACAAACATTTTAGAAACATTTGTCGATAACGCGAACTGTTCTGGCAACCTCACCAACTGTGATGGGCAACTGAAATGCCGGGCAAAAGAATACTGGGTTTGATTAAACAATTACAAACGTTATCAAAACGTTACCAGGCCGAAAACAGTCGCCGAAACACTGGAATCTTAAGGTCCAAAACATAACTATGATATCCGTATCAAATATACATCACCATCGAATAACCACTTTTTGTTTGTTTCAGTCACCATCAAACCTGGGTGTATACTTTCTCGTGCCCGGCACTTTATTCCCGACGTGTTTTGCTTATTAATGAATAATGTCAATAATTGTTAAACTCATCCATCAGGTTAGGATGATGACAATTCACATTGTGACGTTAATTGTATTAATCATTCTGCTTTTGTATGTGCAGAGGTAGCTGATGCTAATGTTGATGGATATGCTAGTAGAGTATATTCTTGTTTGTGAGTTTGATTTAATATTGCTGTTGCTGATTGCTGAAAAGTCTGCGTCTTACAAAAATGTATTCTTGGTAATTACTTTGCCGATTATGATGATCATGATGATGATGATGATGATTCCAGTTCAATGAATTCACCACATCTGGCATCAATGAGATGTCTGTGCTGGAGCTGGCGTTTAAGCTGTTGAACCACACGGAGGACCACACGTATCTCAACCCCATTGATATCGCCACCGTCATCGACCTCATCGAGATCCTCGTCAAGACACAGGTCAGTTGTACTCAGTTACTCAACAAGAAGTATTCTGTCAATCAGAGATTTCTTCTCTAATACACATGGCTGGTGTACTGGCTTTGTCCGCTCGATGCACTACTTCCGCTCTTTGCGGATACTCGTCAGCACCCATGTACCTTGTACTGGTGATCCCCTCCCAGTGCGGATTCTCGTCAACACATATGGTATACCACCTCCCCTCTGTCCGGATACTCGTCAAAACACATGTATCTTGTACTGGCCATGCCCTCCCAGTGCGGATGCTCGTCAGCACATATGCTACACTACCTCCCTCTGTGCGGATACTCGTCAACACACATGCTCTTGTATTTGCTTGTTTATCGTCTCAAGTCAGCCTTTCAAATATTTAAGTTAAACTTTTATGTGTGTCACTATTATCGACACGATTATTATCATAAAATAATCACATCGACAACAATGGTTATGCTGTCACGATTGCTGTTAAGACTGTAGTATGTTCCCTACTCCCTGTAAACAGTATCTCACAGAGGAATATATTCCTTTCTTGATCACCGGGGGAACAGGTGGCTCAGTCGTCTAAAGCGCCGCAATTCGCTGTGCAGAGTTGTGTCCCTTTGGTGTGACAGAATCATATGACCGTTCGTTCGAATCCTAGATTTGCCATGATGATGATCTTAGTTTGTCAGACCATACCCACTGGTTTCCCAAGTGGAATGCATCTAGGACCAGCATCACTTTAGACTCCTCATTTGAACTTGGACACAGATACACTTGTGATTAAGCATGGTATTCCCCTTGCCTTGACAGGGAGTGACCCCTCGGACAATCACCTGGCGGGAAGGAGGGTCAACGTATGCCCGTACCGACGAGATCTACCCCACGTTTGACCAAACACAGACCTTCTGCCAGGTACTTAACCGCCAGCATGGTACCGTTTTGTAACGACACAGCATCCATATAGACATAGCAACGTTGCAATGGAGTTTTGATTGATTTTGGTTTGATTTGTTGTTTAACGCCGCACTCAGCAATATTCCAGCTATATGGCGGCAGTCTGTAAATAATCGAGTCTGGACTAGACAATCCTGTGATTAATATCATGAGCATTGATCCACGCAATTGGGATCGATGACATGCATCAACCAAGTCAGCGAGCCTGACCACCCGATCCCGTTAGTCGCCTCTTACGACAAGCATAGTCACCTTTTACGGCAAGCATGGGTTGCTGAAGACCTATTCTACCCCGGAATCTTCATGGGTCTACAATGGAGTTAATGTTTGTAGGTTTACATCATAGTTTACTACTCAAAAGAAGTTAAGGATCACCCTATGTCTCATATTACTGTAGTTAATCTGCCGCATGACAAATTAGCAATTGTATTATGAAAGAATCGGGGAGGGAGAATATACAAGAATCAAGTGTTCATTAATTTCTTTTGAATGAAATATATTTTATCTACATCAGCCATTAATTTGTGACCTGGTATTGAGGAGACAAACAGTGTTTGGTTGTATGCCTTCAGGTACGATGGCACACCAACACAGCCAGGGCATATCTCTGTCCAGATTGTTACCCATTTAATTATATTCTCCCATACAGATCCGGGACGATTAGGTCACCAGTTGAAACAATGGGTGTATTATGCATTTCGTAAGGTCTATTGAGACATAATATTAACGATGAGTTTTTCAACGGCGCCCTTCTCATTCTCTGATGCTACTCTAGCGATATATTTTCAATACACGACCCTCATGATGTATTTTCGAACCTCCAGGGGACATCCTAATTTTACAAGGCAATCACAACAGTAGGGCACCCAAATGAGAAAAGCGGTTGGCTCGAAAGAAAGATGGTGCTCTGGGACAATTTGCAATTCTCGTTTCGTTTAGAATGAAGGTTTCATGGGAATAATAGGTTACCAAATATCTGTTTAGGAATCTACTTGTTTGTCTTTTAACTGTACCTCCATGGAGGCACCCGGCAGAACAGATCGGCAGCGGCCCATGCTTTTGGTGAGAGCTGACTAACGTTAGTCAGAGGTGTACATCATTTGATAACGATATCTTATGTAAAAAAAACAGCAATGCATATCTTCACATTAGATGATGATTAGAATTGTTCTGCACAATGTTAACTTCTCGATAAGTTTCTACGTCAGGACCGACCATTTGGGTGGGGTGGGGAGTTAAAATGCTAAAAAATAATAATTTGTTTCAGACAAATACTGAATTAATTTATATTTTATTACCTCCGGGACATTTACGTCCTGTACAAATACGTTGTGAAACAAATATATAATTGTTCAGCTCCTCCTTTCAGAATATAAAACAGATATTCTGTTTTCTGACAAAAGATTACGAAGGGTTATGTTCTTGTATCAAACTGACTTTAGGAAACCCCTTTCTCGCACGCACACACACACACTCGTCATAATCTTTACATGCACAGCTCCCGTCTTAGCGTTGAATGATGTCCTTTTGGTTTATCTAGATCTTGGCAACAGTAGTGGACAATCTTCTCAACTCCAAAAATGAGAAAGGCTGGAACGCTACACAGCCTTCCGGTGTTGAAGGTGATAACCTTATGAATGTCATGCATGATTTTGCTGACGTCATCTCGCGAAGTCTCGTCTTCCACGTGATCGACGGAATCAAGCCCTACAGGGAGGCGTTTATTCGAGTTTTCAAGAATAATATAGGTAAGGTGCCTTAAGTGTAGTTTGAAGACTGTAGGTTCTTGAATTTACGCTTCCGCTTCATTTGTCTTCTTTTTCGTGAGAGAGTGTGTTAAAAATCCGGTCGAACATATTTCAGCTATATTTTGACTTCTTCCTGTGAGAGATGGGTGTGTGTGTGTCGGGTAGCCTAGTGGTTAAAGCGTTTGCTAATCACGCCCGACACCCGGGTTCGATTACCGACATGGGTAAATTGTGTGAAGCCCATTTCTGATATCCTCCGCCGTATTATTGCTGAAATATTGCTAAAAGTGGCGTAAATCCATACTCACACACTCTTCCTGTGAGATAAATACATTTCAAAGTTTTGTGTTTTTGCTTTTGCTTTGTTTAATTTTACTTTATGTGCATACTTAAGAGTTTACCCCGCTTTTAGCAATAATGCAGCTATGCAAAGGGGAGGAGACACCAGACAACGGTTATAAACATTATCCCGATGTTGGGAATAGAACCAGGGTTTTCGGCGTGGCGAGCGACCACTCTATAATACCCCTACTCTGACTACATGTTCCTAAAGTGTTGTTTAGTTCCAATGCTAATATAAATACAAATACGCAAACATGTTTTTATAATATTGGAACGGCTTCAAAGGCCTGAAAATGTATGTGTCATACTATCAATGAACAGTGAACATGAGGTGAGGTGAGGTGAGGTGAGGTGAGGTGAGGTGAAGTAGGGTTTAACGTCGCGTTCCGAGATGTTTGCACTCGTATAGCAAAGTAAATGCTCGCGAGTGTGTGTGTCTATGTGTGTGGATGCTTGTACTAGTCTTGACCAATTCCTGTTTTATAGCCCGAGTTTGTTACCACAAACCAGGAGACCCTTTCAGTTTGTTTAAAAAAAGCCTCTATTTGTATTATCAATATGAACATCCTCACCAGAAACAAAATTAATGATAATACATGGGTGAGGTTTAGGCGAAATTGGGTTCAACGTCGCGTCCAAGATTATTGCACTTATATAGCGACGTGCATGCACATGTGTATGTGTGTGTGGCTCCTTGCACTGCCGATTCATAGTGCTAGCTCACTGAGATACCATGTCACAGTTAACACGAATACCCCACTCATAAACAGTATACTGACTCCGAGCCGAACAGTCCTTGTTTCAGCCCCAGAGGGGTTAACAATAAGTACCGTGTTTTAACGTATGTGAACCCCAGACCTTCCGCTCTCCGGGCGGACGCTTTACCACTAGACCACGGCGGCGGTTGATAATAAATGGCATCCAAAGGCTAAGTAAAACATATATAGATGAAACAACAAATGCTGAATGGTAATGAAAGATGTTACACTGCACAAAAACAGCGACAAAACGAATGTATTGAACTGGTGCTTGTGAAATAGTTCGCCGCCGCAGGCAATGTTTGGCACACTTATTCGCATTCGGTTCGCAGTTTTTTTAATTACCATCCATGATCGATTAAAATGCAACATAGTTCCTTTGAAATTTAGAAAATGCTTCAATAAGTTTCTGGTCCATATTCGCTGATTTGTTTTTTGACCAATCAGAAAGTTAGAAAGTCCTTTTACCAACATGAACTTCCCACAAACACGTGACACTACATTCGCGTGACCGGAAATGAAGGCTTTTTACCTTGTCATTATGTATTCTGATCATCTAAGACCTTATAAAACCAATAAAAGTGTCCACCAAATAAACATCTGAGACCTGCATCACTTCGGGGTTTTCTCCCATATTAAGCTGACACGCCGGGATATGACTGGAGTACTGTTAAAAGTGGCGTTAAGCTCACTCATTTCACCTTCATGCGTATTTATACATTAAAAACCGCATATTCCAGTACATGGCAGATAATTTAAGAATTTGAAAAAGAAACAGATGTCTTGAACGACAGGTGAAGTAAATTATTAATGGAATATAATGGTATCGTGGAAACATCTAATGTTACGTCAATCGTTGTCATCTAACACGTCATTTGTTCAGACAGTATCGATGGCTTTCCTTTTCCGTTCCTCTTGGGCTCAACATATCTTGTCAATTACCGAGTTTCACTGACAATAAGTGACTTCGGTTACCGTTAAACCGAACTCAATCATATCGTTCATACTTGGTTTTTTTCTGCAATACATATTTATTGGAACTTCGAAATCCAAAAGAAATTGTTAAAACGAACAATTCGATATTCGTGGACCGTTAAATGTCTGCGGGTGAAAGCTTTACGAACTGAGTTAAACGTTCCGAGAGATTTAGAAGTTTATTATTGCTTAAAACTTAACAATCTTGACATCTGTGCAAGTAATTTTGAGACAGCCTTTCTCAACGAAGGTAAAACCACATGCACGGACAAAAAACATACTTGAAATTGACATTCTAATGACCTCACCAAATTGCATGTTCATTTCAAGAGCGCTAGCAGCAAATTCTTTCGCCTGAAATATCTAAAATCAATTCCGCCAAAAACCAATATGTTGACATAAGGAATCGCTGGCACCAATCTAAGGGTTGTGTTCGACGCGTTCTTTTCGCACGGTGGAATTCAAACACTAACACGTTTGGATATTTTTCGGAACAGGCACGACTTCTTTTGAAATTGCCAGGATTTGTCTGTTTTCTGCGCATCAGGGTGCCAAAATAAGCTGTTTAGATAGCACAAGAAAATGAAATCCCATTAATGCCATAAAAAAAGACAGCTCTCAGCGAGGCCATTCGAGCAGCTGGAGCCACAATGGCCGGCAGATAACAACCAAGGTTTTGTGCAACAACTACAGATAATGTGACGTCATTGTCTATGTTTTATATTAACTCCATTACATTATGTTAACCTTCCTAACGGTAAATAGAGGGGATGAACGGCCACCATACTGAGGTCCAAACACATTCAAAAGCAATTACGGGAACACATTATGATCCTACTTTGAATCAGTAGGGACGGGGATTACCGCGTTATTTGAGTTCACTCAGACGTCCGCAATTTCTTGTCCCTGTATGCCCAGACACAGGAAGCACAGAAAACAGTGTAAGTTATGTAAGTGTTAATTTGAAGTTAATTTGAATAATTTCCTATAGAAACTTCTTGACACAAAAGTAAATAATAACAATAATAATAATGATAAAAATAATAATAATAATAATAATAATAATAATAATAATAATAATAATAATTATTATGATAATAATAAGTGTATTTGTACCACGACAAATTCCATACATTATGTGTGTGCTTGATGAAGTTAATTTGAATAATTTCCTATAGAAACTTCTTGACACAAAAGTAAATAATAACAATAATAATAAAGATAAAAATAATAAAAATAATAATAATAATAATAATTATTATTATTATGATAATAATAAGTGTATTTGTACCACGACAAATTCCATACATTATGTGTGTGCTTGATGAAGTTAATTTGAATAATTTCCTATAGAAACTTCTTGACACAAAAGTAAATAATAATGATAATAATAATAATAATAATAATAATATTAAAGTGTATTTGTACCGCGACAAATCCCATACATTATGTGTGTGCTTAAAGAAGTTATTTAGAATAATTTCCTTACGCTCAAACGGCTGCAATAGACGTAGATATGCGCAAACGTACAGACAAAACTATTTCAGTTAGATTATGGACAGTATTTTCTGAACAGAAAGGTCTTCAGCTGAAAGAGTCTCGGGTTGAGTGGCAAATTCCAAAGAGTCGCAGCTCCATAGACAGAAGCTCTTTAGCCAAAAGATTTCTGGTAACGCCTCGGGTCAGTAAGATGATGGTCAGTAGATCGTAAGGCTCTAGATGCTAGGCGTTTCGTCAATAGCTGAAACAGGTGCTGTGGACAGTCTCTTGATAACATTGATAAGCCAGACTGTGTAGTCTACAAAACTATAGACAGTTGCAAATAAGCGTCAGTGGAACACATTTCTGGTATACTTTCCTACCTTTATCGTAGACTAATCAATTAAACACGAAAAACACGATTTTAAGCGTGAATCTATAATATTATCATAGTAGGTCTTTGGTACGCGTTGTGAGGATCGATAAAAAGAACACCATAAATTTGGTCATAATTTTAATGATGAAGTGATATGCAAATGTTTTGTACCAATAAAGTTGATACCATGCCAAATGTGTCCAAACTTCCGCAATGTCAGCATTTCTGAACGCTGACGAAGCCTGCGCGACCTAGGTAGCCCATTCTATACACGCCATTGCCTTGCGGGAATGGGTAATCCAATATAATTTCCTTTTGCGCGAACCTCTGCCGAGCGATTATAATCTCTATGTCTTTTTATCACGAGACGTCAACTTTGTGAACTTTTGAGAGATCTGAAAGAAAATCATTCAACCCAAGCTCCCGTTTTTCCTCATTTCAAAGAAAGTCAAAACGTAAGGTTTTCCAAGCAATCTTGTGTCTTGTACATTTACGGTTCGTTAACTAGGTGTATCGATTTTGTCCCACTGATATCTGGATTCAGATGTACCCATCGCTGGACAATAACACGCTGCACGTGCCTTCTCCCGCGTTATTTTGTCTGGTCGGAAGTAGTGGTGATCGGCCATCATGGTAATCCTGACAGGATGCTCCCATAATTGATCGTAAACTTACATTGGCCAGACAGGACTCCTTAATTCTATTAAAGACGTGAAGCAAAAGGTATATCTGAAGCTATAGGGTCAAGATTGCTCTCGTAAAAACGTCAATGGATTGAAAACAATTGCTACTTTTGGAGTTAAGCTGATCAGGAAAGCACAGTGTGGAAGAAGAAGGGATACATCAGAATTTTATCTTCATTGTCATCCTTTGTTTCTCAAGGTTCCCGAATGTAGACAGAAAACTTTTCTAATAAAGCGAACGGGAGACTTTGGGCTGTAGTAGATTCTGAACACGACGACTGGTCTAAATGTCTTCGTCAGTATTCATTGGGGTATCAAAAGACCATGAAATTGTCTGCTGATTGTGGAAACCAATTTGACATTCTAATCCCGTTTGTGTACTGAATGTACATTGGTATTGTAAGGAGTCCACGCTAGTTTCAGTATTTATTCTCTATGACATGGGGTTGGTGTCAGGAGAACAGATACATTAAACATTGTTGGGGTGAAGAGTATTCTTCAAATTGGAACAGGCTGGTATTGTCCTGAAACGAGCGACTCCGACACGTGCTCACACATCAATGTTGTATGGGATAAGAGTGAGTGAGTCGTGTACGACCCCGCTTTGAACTGTATTGTAGTTATATCACGGAGTGTTAGCTTATTGTGGGAGGAAAGCCTTGAGTAATGCAGGCCTTAGACGTTTACCACTTTGGTGAAACCTACAAGGAATCCAAGAAACATACTCAAGACGAATCTGGGATTTGAACCCACGATCATCGGTTTCTGGGACACCTAAGGCACACTCTGCACGACGAATTGCCGCGCCTTAGACGACTGGGCCACTCAAATCCATATTTATTTGATTATTATTAATACGCAATCACAGATTAAGATGACATCACACTGATCGTGATATGGATTTCTTGTACCTGGTTGGAACTGAACAAAATAATATCCATACTCAATGGCCATTGTAGACATACGATCCACATTTGAATCGTCATAGACGACAAACTAGGATATAGGAGCCCAATTCTTCCACTACTCGCTGGAAGTGTTGACTTTGGCCCCTGTGTTGCTGGAATCAAATGTGCATGGGTTCGAATCCCAGATTTGCATCTTTTTATCCTTTGTATGTCGGTATCATCCCGGGATCACTGGCGTTTATTGCATGCGCTGTCTCACCCACACAGGGCCGCTTGAAAGGAATAGCTAAAGCATCCTTCTCAACATCTATTAATATCCACAGACACCAGGTATAGCGAGCTTATTCCGTTTAATGATACCGTTATCTAGGATAATGATAAATGTATAATAACAGCCGTATCGTCAAGTCATTTCAGTCAATATAAAAGGCAGTAACGGCGTAATCTGTCAAAAGCTGACTTTGTTTACTTCGTATATTGAGAATACCAGACGACAAAATGTGATATTTTATCCCCAAGAGCTTTCCACACTACTGAATTCGGGATTTATTTTGTCGAAATGGTGAAATATGTTGCCGTCCATGGTCTTTGAGTTTGATTTGCCAAGGGACGTAACTCTTGCAAGTATGTAACTATTCCGGACTAACCCGAATAAATGCGGGTGTGGATGCAACCGTTAACTGACCTCCTCCCTGGTCAAGGACTGGTCGGCTCTGGGTCAGTCAACTGTGTCTGAGTGTGCCCATGTTAAACCTCGACAAGATATCTCAGTGGGCTGGCGCTATGAAATCGGCATTAGTCAGTACAACACACACACACACACACACACACACACACACACACACACACACACACACACACACACAGAGAGAGATTCTACACTGTGTTGCTTTCATTGTAGAGTTGAACACAGGCATATATTTCTATTATTGCTGAAAAATGTTTTCTGTTTATTTGGCTTCATTTAAAATATTTTCTTTCATCAAACACAGTGTGATATGTTAGTATTTGCATAGACGGGTACTTTAAACGGGAGGTGGGGGAGATGGGGCCACAGGCACCTTTCTGAAGGGGGCAATTTCAAATGATTGTTAATCTCAGTTTTTAGAAACCTCGTGTGTGGTTTTGGGTTGTTGTTTTGCACAAACACACACACACACACACACACACACACACACACACACACACTATATCCAATTTCACTCACTTCACCTCATAGTGATCTGTTAAAGTATTATACCGTGCCTATTCCAACTTTTGCAAGGTGCCCACTCTCTGCAAATGTACTTCGCAAGGTTTTAATCCTCTCTTACACTCTCTTACTATCCTAACCAGTTCACTATGGTTATAGCCGATTGACGTATACAGACATTGTCAGTTTTCACAAAAAGACAATTTCAATATCTATGCGCATACAGCATCGGTAACCAACGCATATTATAATACGGCAAATAACACATTTTCATCTTTAGTTTGAAATACCCAACTGATATTAGTACAACTAACTCCTTCTCTTTTGCAGAGTTTAAGATCGAGACGCATTGGATCGAGAAGTTTAATGGTATCCTCTTCCCTGACTCGTACGACTTCAAGAGCGACACTCTCAAGTTTGAGGACGGCTCAGTGAGGATCCAGGGGGACGCCTTTCTCACCCAGAATGTATCGCAGCTTCCAGGCAAGGGAGATAATAAACTTTTTTCTGCCGATACAAATTCCATAACAACCGGATTCGAAATCAGCATTAGCTAGAAGCACTCGTAAATCTCAAAATGTTCGAAAAAAATTCCCGTTGCGAAAGAATTATTCTTATTCAAGCACAGTTCTCTTGTTTTTACAGTCAATCGAGTTATATCGAGTTATATTGCATGAGGTTACGGATCGTGAATATTATAAATAGTTTAAAATAAAGATATAACGTAAGTATGTTTTAATGTGAAAAAATCATGAGATTTACATATGTGTCTATCTAGTAGGGCGGTTAAGGCTGGATTTTAGTCCGAACATTTCTGGATATGGATCCATCTCAACAGCGACACCTGGTGGTAGAAAATCCAAGATGGCCGCCAAATGGTTAAAATCTCTTTTGACGTCAATGTATATTCAATATATCATAACTAGGATGTGTTGAGTATAGATTGATATTTATTAGAGATTTCAGCCATGCTGGCGGCCTTCTTGGAATTTGTACCACCAGGGGGCGCTGCAAATTATATTTGAATTATATACAGCTCTGCTGCAATTCATTCCGCATGCATTAGTGTGGATATATGTATAAATGGATCAAATAAGTATGATATATTTAGTATATATTGATACCATTAGAGAGTTCAGCCATGTTGGCGGCCATCTTGGATTTTCTACCACAAGGGGGCTCTGCTGAGGTGGATCCATATCCAAAAATGTTCGGAATGGTTCAATGTATAAGTGTGCCAAGTTTGGTACTTTTAACCCAAAGTGCACAATTTTAGCCTTAACCGCCCCACTTATCTAGGGATCGGGAGAGAGACGTGTAAGCGGTGTTTCGTTCCTCCTGATTGTATAAGCTTGAATGACAAATCTTAACGAGAAAATAAGAATACCAACTTTCAATATTGATCTTGTTTCAGTGTTCATCGGTATATCAGCGTTTCGATATCCAACGCTTGCAAGGGTACTTCCGGGTCAAGCAGTGAAAAGGTCAGAAAATCAAATTCAGAAATTCCAAAATATTAACATAGCAGTAGGTAACTAATGGAAAGATATTGGATAAATAAAATTGAAAACACATTGTAAATATGAAACGACTTTGTCGTAGTTATGTTACAATATGCATATTGGATTTTATATCGAGGAGAACGTATGTCCCGTTCGTCTAAGACGCCACAATTATTTGTACAGTGTTGTGCCTCTTGGGTGTTCCTTGAACCGGTGATCATGGGTTCGGCTGCCTCTCACTTTGTCAGCACCATACCCGTGCTCGTGGGTTTCGTCAAATTGGTGAACCTGCATCACTGCAGGCTTTTCTCCTACATCTGGCTGACACGCCGTAAAATAATTGAAATAAATGTCCAAAGCGCGTTAAAGTCACTCCCACGCTCAGTCATCATATCGACCTAGCGGGTCGTGTCATGGAGGTTTACTTTACGTTCTTGTACACTGCAGCCGGCGCAAGGACGACTGGGTGAACACTCCTATCGTCGCGTTGTTCACACATATGGGGGATCTCTCACTCTCACAGAACCTCACTTCGCCCATCATCATTGATCTTCCATTGCTAGACGTGAGTTGCCTCCCTTGTATTGTTACTTGTTAGGCATGTGTTATCTCCCTTGAAATAGCAGAATGCTATAATAGACCATGTATCCAATTCGGTTTATTGTATACAAGGCCATTGGCCCAGCAAATATCTGTAGTGTAGACACTATTAATTTTACTGTTGTAAATTTAGATACAGTCTAAATACATTCTGTAACAGATTTTAATAGAAGACGGCATGCTTAAAAGTCGCCTTTCTACATTACAGACATTCAATATATCTAACCCGGACTGCGTGAGGTTGAAACATCGAAATAGGTAAGATCTACATCTCAACAATTTCGTTCATCTACGTATTAAAGACAAGGACGGGGCCAGGAGTTAGGCCATTTATAACCTTAGTGGGTTTTTTTAAGTGGAGTTCACTTTAAGGCCTTCCCAAAACAGTCACTGAGAGCTATTTTGCAGTAGGGACATTATTATCCCCCGCCACGAAGTGGAAGAGGGATGTAGGAATGGGTGTCGTCCGTCTGTCCTTCTATTCCTCCGTCCGTCACGTTTCGTTTCGTTTCGTTTCCGGAGCAGAACAAACACAAAAAACATGGGAGATATTCTTAACCAAACTTTGCACATAGATAGGTCTAGTGGTGAACTAGTGCCTTTTGATATTAGGGGATTTAAATTTTTTTTTATTTTTCGAGTTTCCCTGGCAACGACATTGACTTAGACTGAAAGGTAGTGCTCGTTTCCGTACAATATTTCTTCACCAAACTTGGCACATAGATAGGTCTAGTGGTGAACTGGTGCCTTTTGATAGTTTGGGATTTAAAATAAAATAAATTTCGAGGCATGTCTTTGACTTACACTGAAAATCACCAAACTTCGCCAAGATCTTGAAAACCGTAAAATATTTCTTCCAAACTTGCCATATAAATAGGTTTAGTTGTAAACTGGTACCTTTTGATAGTTTGGAATTTTTACAAATGTTTCCTTAGCACAGAGCATAACCGTTTACATGTTCTACAAAAACATCTACACAGGGTTGTCTGAGAACCGTAACCATAATTACCTAATTGAGATGTATACCACGTGACAAAGGAACTTGGTCAAGGTATATCGTGAATTATTGTGAAAACACAATTTACAAGTGGCACCCGAACCAGCCTACTTCCTCGCAGTGCATGCCGGTAACGTGAACAGTGGCACCCGAACCAGCCTACTTCCTCGCAGTGCATGCCGGTTACATGAACAGTGGCACCCGAACCAGGCTACTTCCTCGCAGTGCATGCCAGTAACATGAACAGTGGCACCCAAGCTAGCCTACTTCCTCACAGTGCATGCCGGTAACATGAACAGTGGCACCCGAACCCGCCTACTTCCTCGCAGTGCATGCCAGTAACATGAACAGTGGCACCGGAACCAGCCTACTTCCTCGCAGTGCATGCCGGTAACATGAACAGTGGCACCCGAACCAGCCTACTTCCTCGCAGTGCATGCCGGTAACATCAACAGTGGCACCCGAACCCGCCTACTTCCTCGCAGTGCATGCCGGTAACATGAACAGTGGCACCCGAACCAGCCTACTTCCTTGCAGTGCATGCCGGTAACATGAACAGTGGCACCCGAACCAGCCTACTTCCTCGCAGTGCATGTCGGTTACATGAACAGTGGCACCCGAACCAGCCTACTTCCTCGAAGTGCATGCCGGTAACATGAACAGTGGCACCCGAACCAGCCTACTTCCTTGCAGTGCATGCCGTTAACATGAACAGTGGCACCTGAACCAGGGTACCAGTAACATGAACAGTGGCACCCGAACCCGCCTTCCTCCTCGCAGTGCATGCTGGTAACATGAACAGGGCAAAGTGGAGGTGGCGGAGTTGACAGCTGCCACACTAAAAATGCTCTCTACCAAAGTGCAGTGAGGGCGTGGCGACAACCTGGAGATGATCCAGACAAACCAACTGCCATTCTCACAGCTTCCACTGGTAAGGCAGCATCCAACATTAGTAGGACAACACTTCATTCAGCTTTCCATCTACCTGTCAGGAAGAAAGGCCAGTCCTACATGCATCACAAGCCTTCGGCTGAGAAACTGAACACAATGCATGTTTTGTAATCTGAAAATCATCAAAGCAGATAAGATCTCAATGTTTGGAGGACAAGCCTTAGCAAATCTGAACTTGACCTTGCAGACTGTTTTTGCCAACGAACTGCCGTTTGGAGGCATGTCCTTATTGTGTGTTAGTGACCTTCTGCAGCTAAATCCTGTAAGGGGTAGACCAGTTTTTGCAACAGGTTATGGGAACTATAGAGCTCTCTGTGGCTCAGTGTGGAAGGATCTCTTCCTCCTCCATGAACATAAACAGATAATACGTCAACAAAGTGACACTGATTGTGCATGCCTGTTGCAGAGGTGATCACTTGGTGACTTGGTGATCACACTTCAAGAGACATCAATTTGCTGAAGTAGCTTGAAAATTCCCCAAGTGTACTGCCTCATGACTGCGTATCCCTTTTAAAGTTGATGATTACAACAATATTCAACTTTCAAAAATAGACAATGCCATCATACAGGTCACAGCTGTTGATTCTCACAAGGACCTGAACACTAGACGAGCCTCTGTACTTGTGATTAGCACCAACCCTCATGACACAGGTGGATAAGTGAAAAACATTTCACTTGATGTAGGAGTAAAGTGTATGCAAACCACAAACACTGACATATCAGACATGCTGGTTAATGGGGCTACAGGAACTATCATTCACATAGAAATTGACATCGCCAGACCACTGAAGCGAACAATCTTTGTTATGTTTGATGATCCAAAGGTTGGTCTTTAAGCAATAAAGCGAAGTCCTGTCAATTGGATCATGCAGTATCATTTACTGCTGTAACAGACTCGTTCTTCGTGCCTGGCAATGCTAAATCTGTCATGGTTGAAAGAAAACAGTATCCAGGAACTTTAGCATGATGCCTCACAATCCACAAGTCTCAAGGTAGCACCGATGAGCAGATGATTGGGAACATGACAATTACACAAGGTAGTAAATTTAAAGCCGAGCCTGGTCAAGTGTATACGATGCTCAGGAGAGTCAAATCAAGGAAAGGCCTAAAGCTTGTAGGTTTTGATGAACACAAAATCGTAGTAAACAAAAAAGCATTGGATGAGATGACTAGATTGCGGAATGAAAGACTGTTCACCTGGACACACCTTGTAGAGAACATTCGTGGTGATGGACTCAAGGTGGCACACTTGAATGTTCGATCCCTCAGTGCTCATTTCGAAGATGTGAAGAAGGATATGCTTGTTGTTTTGCTTGATGTTTTGTGTTTCACAGAAACACACATCACTGATTACAATGAAAGAGGCCTGCCAGGATATCAAGTCTATCAGGAGACACTAGACACGGTATTGCTGTGTATGTTTCAACTAGTTTCAAGAACAGTGTCCAGCTATGTGATTTAATGTCATCTCGCAGTATTGAATACATTTCCTTTCTTGTTGGCAAGTTCTGCATTGCTTGTGTGTTTGTTCCTCCAAAAGAGTCATGGACACAGTGGTCGCATTCACTTACTCATTTCATGCAGAAACTTCAGGATCTCTCCAAGCAGCATGAATGTGAACATGTCCTAGTTACTCGGGAAATCAACTGTGACCTGAGTGAAAAACTGAAACTTGAAGATTTCTTTAATGTGCGGAAAATGACTCAACTCATTCACTCTCAAACGCACTGTCTTGTAGCTACACTGGACTTGTTCTTTACTGATCATGCCAGTGCTGTAGCATTCCAGACTCCAGTCTACTACTCAGATCATCAGATAATTGGTGCTGTACTTCACAGTAACCTCTAGGTGACCCCTGCTTTCACTGATCTCTAAGTAAATTAAGAACTCCCTTACTTCTCTGACAATTGTTTAAGTAATAACACAACAAATACAGTTAAGTATTCTATCATAAACTGAGATGACAAAACAACACCAGTAATAACCTTTTTAGTGCTGCAATTAGGCATTTACAAAAAGGTCCAGTGAACATAGTTCACAGGAGCTAATGCATTGCACACAACCGGACATGTAATATTGGCGGGAGATATGAGTATTTCATGCTTCTTTTCAACTGTTATTTTTCAAATATGATTTGAGCTTCATTATGATAACATCTACAAAGGAGGTAGGTGATAATCGGACAAACAATTACTAATTTGTTATGACCTAACCTGTGATTTTGGCAGCGTTGCCATCATAAGGATCTCGAAACTCAAAACTGATGACATTGTACTCTCGAAGTTATTTTTTGTGAAGCTGTTCAGTTTAATTCAAATGTAGATTTCTGTTGAGTTCCATGTATTACGAGTCATTACATCTCATTTTCAGAACCCGGAAATGGACTTGGACGAGAAGTAACTGCGAGATTCTCGAATACAGGCCGCAATCAGTCATGTGCGCATGCTCAGTGCCTGGCGTGTTTGCCGTCACCACTGACATGTACAATGAAAATGTGAGTGGTTACCATTTAATCGGTATCAGTAAGCCATCCCGATAAGGGAGCATCCTGCCGAAAAAATAGTAGAACATTTTTACAGGCTTGTCTTACTCATTAACAATTAACTTGGGGGCGGTCGTGTAGCCTAGTGGTTAAAGCGTTCGCTCGTTACGCCGATGCCCGGGTTCGATTTCCGACATAGGTACAATGTGTGAAGCCCATTTCTTGTGTCCCCTGCCGTGGTATTGCTGGAATATTGCTAAAGGCGGCGTAATACCATACTCACTCACTCACTACAATAAACTTGAAGACGTTTAATCAGATTGAATAGCATTGCATGCGTAGGAGAGCAGTGATAATAAATATAGGAAATCTGTGTATTTTACTAGCGCCTTTTTCTATTTTTCTCTAGTGGGACAAGGGAGATAAGCGCCCAGAACTGATGAACTTTGCGTCCTACATTGGATGCACAGTGTCTGCCACTCTGTGTCTACTTTCCGTCCTTATACACGTATATGTCAAGTAAGTGTATTCTGTTTGTAGGGTGAAACCTGGTTAACTCGAAATCCTTTGTTCCAGCAGTGCGAGTTATCCGTAGTTTGAGACAATCATAGTGCCGTTTAAGACCATCGTGAATATGGACTGCCGGGGGTATTTAAAACGAAGTGTCGAGATAATGGCGTTCGAGTTAACAGATGCTTTCTGCATACTGATTAGATTTCACGTGATTCACAGGGCGTGTAGATATATTAAAGTATTATATTCTTTTCTTATCATCTAAAATATAAGCTATGGAAAAGAGTCTTGAAGGGATACAAGTTACCCCTGCGTGTCGGAGAGGGCGGCGGAAATGGGAGGCTGCCAACCCTCTTTTGGTACGCGAGATTCCGGGGTACATTCAGGTGTATTCGGGACTCAGTAGTGTGGTACATGTACCTCGGACGCAACAAAAGTCGTATTTTGAACGCAGATTCATCATTTAAGAAGAGTAATTGTGTACTTTAACATTTCCGATATATATGTATATTGCATTTTCAGTAATGTTACTTCAAATAGCACCCTTTTCTCAATGCTTTTAAGATTTGTGTTAAGAAGAATTCGGGATACAGGAGTGAGCAATGAGACTCAGAGTGAAAATTTAGATGGTATTCGGGATTGAAGGGGGCGGGGATTAGCACCTTCAAATCGGATAATGAGTGGATGTTGTACAATGTGACTGCTGGTAGACCCTCACCCAGGACCTACCTGACAGTGCCCCCTGGTGACCTGGCGGTGCCCACACCTTTAGCCACTTGTCTCTTTATCTCCGGCCCTTTTTACCTGACCCTTTACTTGTACATCCACCCCTGGCTGAACTCTATGGAGTGTCTCCGATCGTGACGTTTTAAAATAGTCGTCAAATTAAAACTCTTTTCGGTAAGCTGCGGATACTATGTGGACGATAAGGGAATTTTTTGAGAACGTCATATCGTCATGTTCGTTGCTTGTCTGAAACGTAGGAATGAGAATGTTTCTAATATCTTTTCGACATCACAGTTGATTATATATTTTAAATTTGACGCCTAGTATCATGTGTTCTTTAATTATTTTTTAACAATATCGTGCGTTAATACACTGCCGGGCAAAAGAAAGTATACACTTGAAAATTTGATTTGACCAAAACATTACAAACATTACGAAAACACTACAAGTCTGAAGCCAGTCGCCGAAACGCTGCAAACTTAACATAAAAAAACATAACTATGATACCCGTATCAAATATATCACAATCGAATAAACATTTCTTGTTTGTTTCATGTTGGCCACCATCAAGCACGGGTGTATACTTTAATTTTCTCAGCAGTTCATTATAGTATCGTGGTCGCCATTCATTTACACGCCATGTATGTAAGTCTTCAGGGCTGGGTTTGAAGATGATATACTCACGTAACGCATGCCTATGTAATAACCCGCGAGAACAATGGTTCATAAAAGCCAGTTCATAACTTGTCTTTCTTTGTATGTAGTGATGAATATAACAAGATCAGTTCGAGAAGTGTTTCTCGACGAAATAGGCTCCCAGAATAATAATGTGACGTGTTGCCGCTTTTCTTCTTCTGGACGCCTAGGCCCCGTTCCACAAAGCAATCTTAGCGCTTTGACGATCGTAATTTCCATACTTTAACATAGACTCTAATATCCTATTATGGAACTGGCCAAAGTCACTAATACACGTTAATTATCCCATTTTAGAAACCATTATATTATAATGAATAGCCCGAAACATACTGTACCAAAATAGACCCCGAGTCCCAAACACGCCGTGGTGACGAACAGAAGAATATATCCGTATGGGCCTTTTGTGTTGAAAAGAGCGAGTGGGCTGCTTTAAACTTTTCGCTGAAATAATAAGAGGCTGACAAGAAATTAAAGTAAAAACTGCTACTGAGATGAAATATTGTCCCTTCATGTGCCTAAACTCATTGCGAGGAGACACACGTTTCTTTGTAATTACAACGAGGATATACGATGTGAAGGTTGGAATACCAGACTGTCAAAGACCTTTACAGAAATATCCATGGTTTGGAATTATCCGAAGTAAGTAAAGAGCGCAAATGTCACGCCACCTTCAATTTGTGGAAATTATACCTACCTTGTGCAGTAGCAATCATCCTGTCTGGACAACCCATTATAAGGGAGGCAGCAAACCCAGACAAATTAGAAGGCTCTCAAACATCTGCACTTGATCATGCTGACACAACGAATCCAGCTCTGTACTAACACCCCGCCGCATTGTATGTGCACATGACTTTAGGCTATGGACTTCTGACAATCATTCCCACGCATATGCTCCGACTTCTCACACAGACTTCCAACAAACAATGTCAAAGTTAATGCATATTGAATATTTACGCGCAGTTGGTTTGGGTAGACATGATTTTTATGCTTTAATTAGGGCCATATCACACTATAAGTTTGTAAACTGAACAAAATTAAAAAAGAAAAGTCACTTGGTATGTTTCACGCATTCAACCATCTGCTTGGCGCGAATATATGCAATGCTACAGATGTGATACTTACTCCTTCAATCACACTCACCATACGCTCTCTCACGTGCCCAAACATTTAACCCTCTCATACACTCATACGCATTCACTCACCTGCAGTCACTCACTCACCAACCCACACAATCACTCACTCAGCCACACACCCATCCACTCACACACCCACACAATCACTCACTCAGCCACACACCCATCCACTCACATACCCACACAACCACCCATACACCCATCAACTCACTCACTCAATGACTCACACACTACCCACACACTCAATCACTCACAAATCATTGCCCCACTTAATCACACACACACCACCTACTACCCATCCACTCGCTCAATCACTCACACAACACCCACCACACACCCATCCACTCACACACCACCTACTACCCATCCACACCCTCAATCACTCACACACCACACACCCACACACCCATCCACTCACACACCACCTACTACCCATCCACACCCTCAATCACTCACACACCACACACCCATCCACTCACACACCACCTACTACCCATCCACTCGCTCAATCACTCACACACCCACACACCCATCCACTCACACACCACCTACTACCCATCCACTCGCTCAATCACTCACACACCACACACCCATCCACTCACACACCACCTACTACCCACCCACCCATCCACTCACACAACACCCACCACTCACTCACTCACTCACTCATCCACCCTCCCATACACTACCCACTCTCCCACTCAAACACCCACCTACCAACCCACTCACTCACTCACTCATGTGTGTTTATCTTCAGGACCTCCTCCACGACGGCCTCTCTTCACAAGAACCTGTGTCTGTCCGTCATGTTCGCTCAGATGGTCTTCATGTTCGGCATCGACAGATACGACCAGCCGGTAAGTACGGTGTACATATTCTACGGTATCTACCACGTGTTTACTTACACCATCTCGTGTGTCAACCTTACATCATCTCCTCATAGTCCCGGCTGTTTACCAGGGGTTTACCTTAAAGCGTCTCCTCATAGTCCCGGCTGTTTACCTTTCATCATCACCTCATATTCCCGGGTGTATATCAGGTGTTTACCTTACATCATCTCCTCATAGTCCCGGCTGTTTACCAGGGGTTTACCTTACAGCATCTCCTCATATTCCCGGGTGTATATCAGGTGTTTACCTTAGATTTCCTTATATTCCCGGATGTTTACAAGGTGTTTACCTTACAGCATTTCCTCATATTCCTGACTGTTCACCTTACAGCATCTCATATTCCCGGATGTTTACAAGGTGTTTACCTTACAGCATCTCCTCATATTCCTGACTGTTTACCTTACAGCATCTCATATTCCCGGATGTTTACAAGGTGTTTACCTTACAGCATCTCCTTATATTCCTGACTGTTTACCTTACAGCATCTCATATTCCCGGATGTTTACAAGGTGTTTACCTTACAGCATCTCCTCATATTTCTGACTGTTTACCTTACAGCATCTCATATTCCCGGATGTTTACAAGGTGTTTACCTTACAGCATCTCCTCATATTCCTGACTGTTTACCTTACAGCATCTCATATTCCCGGATGTTTACAAGGTGTTTACCTTACAGCATCTCCTCATATTCATGACTCCTTACTAGGGGTTTACGTTACACCATCTCCTCATATTTCCGGCTTTATAAACGGGTTTTACCTCACATCTCCTTATATTCCTGACTGTTTACCGGGTGTTACCTTTCAGCATCTCCTCATATTTCCGTCTGTTGGTTTACACATATTTTTATTCATTGAAATGAGTTGGGATTGGTGAACAAGCTTTACAGCTTATGTTAACACCGCTCCCATACAACATATATAACATATTGAAATGAAGGATGTGACGTCATCGATATAGACATTATTTAAATAATATGTTTGTACATATTACATCAAATACAAATACAAAGTGAACATAAATAGAAAATTACAGCTTGTGTGTGTCTAACAAGTCGTTTGTAACAAAAGTAATAGTCACTCATGAGGTTATTGTCCGGTTAATTTAATTATTAATTTGTGAAGAGCTGAAACGTTTTGTCTTGATGATGAAATCGTGGACGGATTCAACTAATTTCTGGTTTTCAGAGTGAGCAAGTTGATTGTTTCCGTTCATAATAGTATCCAGGTTATAACCGGTAGTGTAAAAGTGCATATTAAGTCTTATCTGAGTAAAGTTACAGCAAGTAAAAAAATAATGTTGGGCGTTTTCACTCTGATATCCACAGGAGCAACACGGACTGTCAATTAGATGTCTGTTATAATACTTATCGGCGTTTAGGTCGCTACAACCGAGTCTGAGGCGGCAGTGAACGATTTGACAGAATCGAGTGCCAAAGCTAAGGTCAAAATAAGTCTTATTTTCGGTTTTTGTAATTAGGTGTTTAAATTCTGACAGACTACTTGACTCTTTGGACTTTGGTAGAAGAAGTACGGCTATAAATTCCTTGTATTTCAGAGCTGTTTCTTAAATTATAGTTTGTAGTTTCGGAGACAAAGTTTGGGATCAAATCACAAAGATAGTTTTGGAATTGGTTGTTATACATTTTAAAGAAAAAAGTTAATTTTTGGCAGTATCTTCTATCTTGCATGGATTGTGATTAAGTTTCATTATAAAGTTTCTTATGACTTGTGCCACGAACGGCACCACATATAGATGTAGGGCATCAAGATGTAAGCTTTCTAATATACGCGATTGCTCAGACGTACAGTTATCCCAAATGTGCGAACAATAGTCAATATTTCCGTCTGTTTACCAGGTGTTTACCCTATGGCATCTCCTCATATTCCTGGCTGTTTACCAGATGTTTACCTTACAGCATCTCCTCATATTCCCGGCTCCTAACCAGGTGTTTACCTTACATCATCTCCTCATAATCCCGGCTGTTTGCCTTGCATCATCTCCTCATTTTCCCGGCTGTGTACCCGGTGTTTACCGTACCTTTCCTCATATTCCTGACTGTTTACCAGGTGTTTACCCTACGACATCTTCTCATATTCCCGGATGTTTACCAGGTGTTTACCTTACAGCATCTCCTCATATTGCTGACTGTTTACCAGGTGTTTACCTAACAAGATCTCATATTCCCGGGTGTTTACGTAACATCTCCTCATAGTGCCGGCTGTTTACCAGATGTTTACTTCACAGCATCTCCTCATATTGCCGGATGTTTACCAGATGTTTACCGTACATATCCTCATATTCCCGTCTGTTTACCTTACAGCATCTCCTTATATTCCTGGCTGTTTACCAGATGTTTACTTCACATCATCTCCTCATATTCCCGGCTGTTTACCTTACAGTATCTCCTCATATTGCCGGTTCCTTACCAGGTGTTTACCTTACAGCATCTCCTCATATTCCCGGATGTGTTTACCAGATATTTACCTTACATCATCTCCTCATATTCCTTGCTGTTTGCCAGATGTTTACCTTACAGCGTCTGATATTTCCGTTTATCTACCATGCGTTCGCCTTACAGCACCTCCATATTTACCAGTCGTCTGTTAGGTGTTCGCTCACACTATCTATTCACATTTCAGTCGTCTGTCAGGAGTTCGCTTACACCATGTCTTCCCATTCCAGGTCGTCTGTCAGGTGTTCGCCATCCTCCTCCACTACTTCTTCCTGGCCACGTACTCGTGGTTGATGAACGAAGCCTTCAACCTGTACATCGTCATCACGTACTCCGCCCACAACCAAGGCGAGCTCACAGACTCGGGCTCCCTCGTCAGATACTACGTCCTCGGCTGGGGTAAGTGGGGCCACTTTAAAATAGTGGGTTCTCGGATGCTCCTTGTTCAAATACTGTACACCTGTTCAGCCATTGTGGCCACTGGATCCCCTATTAGTCAGTATCGAAAAGCAGTGAGTTTTATACGAGGGACTCGTGGATTGGTAATATAACTCGCCCGAAACTCAGATCACAGGCATACAAGGATTAAGATGGCTGTGGTACCTATCTTCTCTTTCAGGAAGATAATCGGTTGTGAAAATGCCATAGAGTTTTACAACAACAACAATAATAATGATAATATGATGATGATGATGATGATGATGATATTATTATTATTATTATTTAATAGACGTTTATATATGGCCTAAATCAGCGGCAGAAAATAGTGTGTGTCTTGTGTTGACGGCGTGCAGCCCGTCAGGTCACGCTGCTCATGAAACGTGGAGCTCATGGGTTAGACTATAAGCATGAAGAGTTTTGACCAGGGCAACTATAGGTAACGTGTTACTTAGGACCAAGTTGTTTTGGTTGCTGACAATGTACATCGTGCTTGTAACTTCAACTTTCAGTGATACCCGCTGTGCTGGTGGGGGCTTTCGTTGGGAGTCACTCGGATAATTATTACGCACCAGACATGTAAGTAAAACAAGCGTACATCAACAGATCAACCACATAACATGAACATGTGCATGTTTATAAGTAGACAAAATTGTAACAATGTTGTCGAAACCATTATAAATTATTTCAAAAACTGTTAGTTGTGAAACATTGTATATTTAATATCTTATTGTTTAGACACTGTTCAGGTCACCTGTGAATATTGTCAACCTGGTTAAATGTTTGGTTGGAAAGGTAAATGCTACATTTCATGAATAAGGAAACACAGCACACGTAGCAATTTTGTTCGTCTGTAGGCACTTGCGATTGGGGGGGGGGGGGGGGGGGGGGGGGCTTATAAGTCAAATTGTATCCAGGTATAATACTTTCATCCCTTACAGGGGGCACGGGTGGCCCAGTCGTCTAAGGCGCCGCGATTCGCTGTGCAGAGTTGCGTCCCTTGGGCACGCCAGAAATCTATGATTGTGGGTTCGAATCCCGGTTCGCCCCGATTATGTTTCTAGGTTTGTCAGCACCATACCCGTGCCCGTGGGTTTCACCGAAGTGGTAAACGTCTATGACCTGCATCACTTCGGGCTTTCCTCCCACATTAAGCTGACACGCCGCGATGTAACTGGAATACTGTTAAAAGCGGCGTTAAACCAAACTCACTCACTCACTCATCCCTTACACAACGGGTTTTTTTATAATTCCGGTTATTTGACCTTGTTTACCTCACTGATGCTAAAAATGTTTAATTTTTCCGCATTTCTTTGCAGGTGTTGGATTGCCTGGGAACATTTTTGGTTATTTATTGGCCCCGCAGTGGGCGTTTTAGCGGTGAGAAACTTTCATAGCAATAGTTCTATTAATTATTAAATTAATTCAGTGAACAATAAATCGTGGGAAGACAACGCGTTTTTCCCAGCCAGACTCAGCAGTAAGTGAACGATGCGTCGTAGCATATCCGCGATCGTCATACAGGGAGACTACTCTTGGTGGACTCATTGTTGTTAAGAAAAATCAATATTCAATTCAATGGATGCCTAGCTGCCTATGGCTCTGTCGTGTTATGTTACGCCTCATATATTATTTACAGACATTAACGATTTTGTTTACATTTCAGATAAATATTTTAGTGTTGATATTTACCGCCAAAGAACACAACGAAAATTCCTACACGAAAAGTGAAAAGACAAATAAAGTTATATTGTAAGTATTCAGTTTTACGATGATTGACACACGCATGCATCACATGGCTGTTGTGTATTTGAGATATTAATGTAATTTGTAATTGTAATTAATGAGTTTAATTACGCCACGTGACAAATTGTAAGCACCCGATCAATTATTACAAGTATTAGGAACTACTGATTGACACAGAAGAGAAAACCCTGACCTGTCAATGGACCCTTCTGAATGTTTTGAGGGGAACAGTCTTATTATTCCTGGGGGTGATAGACATGCTGTATATTCGAGCAAAAGTATCGTTTTCCTGGAGCTCAAGTGACCATGACTTTCAAAAATCGTATATGATATAAGAACAGAATGGGTGATCTGGAATATCAGTGTTTCATTAAATACATCTTGAGCTCTTCCTGTACCCCAGCAATACGAATGCCAACTGACAATTTCTGTTTGTTTTGTTTGTTGTTAAACGCCGAACTCAGCAATATCCCAGCTTTGTGACGGCGGTCTGTAAATAATCGAGTCTGAACCAGACAATCAAATGATTGACATGGTGAGCATCGATCTACGGAATTCGGACACGATGACATACATAAACCTAGTCAGCGAGGCTGACCACCCGATCCCGTTAGTCGTCTCTTATGACAAGCATAGTCTCCTTTTACGACAAGCATGGGCTACTGAAGACCTATTCTAACCCAGATTTTCAAGGAAGTAAAAAGTCTTTTCAAACATCAAGTCTTTTAAAAACTGCCTTTGTTGTCGGATAACTCACAGTTTACGATGTTTTATAAATCGAAGAGCTTGAAATTACCCTCACTGCATCAAGACAACGACAAGCATGGGTTGCTGAAGATCCATTCTAAGCCTGAGTTTCACGGGTTCCACTGACACGTGGTGCACAGTAGCATGTTGAAACAACCGCGCGGAGTTACTGTCACGCTCACCCTTTCATCAACGACCGCCTCCGTGGTCTAGAGGTAGAGCGTCCGCCCGGAGAGCGGAAAGTCCAGGGTTCGATCCCCGACCGCGTCATACCGTCAAAAAGACGTTTAAAGATGGTACTTGTTGTTACCCTGTCTGTCGCTCGGCATTAAGGGGCTAAAACAAGGACTTGTCGGCTTGGAGTCAGTACAGTTTGTCAGAGTGGGGTATTCATGTTAAACTGCGGCATGGTGTCTCACTATAAATCGGCATCAGTCCGGACCAGTACCAGCAGCCACACACACACGTGCATGCTATATACGTCGCTATATAAGTGCAATAATCTTGGACGCGACGTTAAACCCCATTTCACCTTTTCATCAACCCGTAAAACTGAATGAACTCTTCCAAGGTTTAAGGTGAAGTGAGCTATGGTTTAATGCAGAGACTTGGGATACCGGGTAAGAACCAATGCTTGTCGTAAGAGGAGACGAAATGAATCCGGTAGTCAGGTTCGGTGGCTTGGTTGATGCTGGTCAATGAATCCCAATTTCGTGGATCGATGTTCATGATCTCAATCACTGGATTGTCTGGTCCAGACTTAATGAATTACAGAACGCCGTCATGTAGCTAGAATATTGCTGATTGTGATGTTAAACAACTAACTGCACTGATTATTCTTTGATCAGGACCTTCCCTTCTGAAAGAAATCTTGTTCACTTCGGTTCTGATACCTAACAATTTCTTTGATATTGTATAGCAGTAAGGAGTCCTTTTCAATGTTAGTAATACTGAACCTTATGAAGAATCCCTATTGTCTGTGTTTTGACAGCAAAATAATTTACTGGCCGTTAAAGTATTTGCTCCTCTAGTTTATGAGACGACCCCGCCAAACAAACAGCTTCGATGATTTGTAGTCTCGTTATAAGGCGGTATTTAGGAATCGTGTCTGCTGTTCGAACAGCCGTAATGATATATTCTGTATACAGTACAACACCCCGTGAAGATCCGCGTTAGAATTGGTCTTCAGAAATCCATGCTTGTCGTAAGAGGCGACTAACGAGATCGGGGGACTTGGTTGATGCATGTCATCGTATCCCAATTGCGTAGATCGATACCCATGAAGTCAATCACTAGACTGTCTGGTCCAGACTCGATTATTTACAGACCGTCATCATATAGCTGGGCTAATGCGGCGTTAAGCCAAAAAAATATACAGTAAAACTTGCAGAAAAGCACCTAAATCTTTGTACAGGCCATGGTTATAAGAGTATATTTATTTTTTGTAACATTCAAGTGAATTCCATCTTAATGCATTATTTATGTCACATTTTAGTAGAATTCTATTCATTTAATGTTCCAGGATCCACATGAAGGGAGTGTGGACCCAGCTTATTCTAAACACAGTGTGTTGGTCATTTGCCTTCATCTCCATAAAGATGGTGGACACGATATTGAAATATCTATTTGCCATGTTTAATTTTTTACAGGTGAGTTTGGTCCTAAGTTGCTTCTAGTTCAGTAAATCCTATGTGGGGTAGGCGTAGATTCTACACTGTGTTGCTTTCATTGTAGAGTTGAACACAGGCATATAGTTCTATTATTGCTGAATTTTTTTTTCTGTTTATTTGGCGTCATTTAAAATATTTTCTTTCATCAAACACAGTGAGATATGTTAGTATTTGCATAGACGGGTTCTTTAAAAGGGAGGTTGGGGAGAGGGGGCCACAGGCACCTTTCTGAAGGGGGCAATTTCAATTGATTGTTAATCTCAGTTTTTAGAAACCTCGTGTGTGGTTTTGGGTTGTTGTGTGTGTGTGTGTGTGTGTGTGTGTGTGTGTGTTTTAAAACAACACACACACACACACACTCACACACTCACACAGAGCCTCCGCGACGGGGCCGCTACTGTACAAAATAAAGTTATGAATCATGAAATTGTAAATATTCATGATCCGGAATATTTTTGGCTCTGTATTTTAACTTCGGGGAAACATACGGGAATTTCCGTTTCAAACACTCTTCCCTATAATGACAGTTGCAGTAATTTCATTCCATGAGTAAATTATTGTCGAGACGAATCATTTTATTTTACATAATACCCTATGAATAATTTTGTCGTTGTTTCAGGGTGCTTTCTTCGTGGTATTTTTCGTCCTACTGCATGAAGAGGTGAGTGACGTGCATGTTTGTCATAGCTGTTTCTCTTCGAATTGTTCACTTTCTAGTGATGGTATAATGATGTGTGGTATTTCACCATTATGTCGAGTACTGGATGAATATCTGATCAAATGGACTTGAATCGAATCGAAGGCCCATGTCAGATCGTCATTTTCCGGAATGTATGCGCGTGTGTTAACGCTTCGTGACCCAGGCGCCAAGCGGTAATCCTCTGAAACATCACGTCTGGCTTTCGTCTCACATTACAGACAGACAGATAAACTTGTGTCTGTCTCACATTACAGACAGACAGATAAATGTGTCTGTCTGTCTGTCTGTCTCACATTACACTGCCATGCGTTATTGGGGCGTTTACCCACGTCCACTCACTTTAACACCCAAAATGACATTAAAGATAACATATTCCGATTGCACAATAACGTCTTGTTTTTAGTTGTCTTATGTTAAGCACCACTGGGACATCTAGTTCATAGATTTACTGATACGGTCATGAATGCAAAATAATCGTAGAAATAACGTGGTATTTCTGAAATATTCTTTTTACAGTCGTATATGAAATTGGGATGAAAGATGCTCATCGGGTTGGAAGGGAAAGTATCCCAAACACTCTTTGTTATTTTCCTTTTACGTACATCAAATGTATTGGAAATCGTAGAGACGTTCCCGATGAGAAAGACCTCCAGGTAATGCATCTCGGAGGCCATTGAAGCGTCGTATAATGTTCATGTACAGTGTAGTTTCCTGGAACAACAGTAATTTGCCGTTTAACATTTAGAAACATAACAACCGTTTGCAAAACTGCTTGAGGCTTTGTTGTCAGTTATTATTTCAGATTATATATTTTACAAAATCACATTACATTTTTTTTTGAAGATGTGGTTCAGGAACATTTCGGTTCTATTTTAATGCATTGGCGAAATATGCATTTAAATTCCTTTAAGACCTCGTTTACACTTTGTTAACTATATATGGAATATATATAATTGTACAGCAGTGTGTCTATTAAGTAAAGATACCACCAGGTCAGGGGGTGTTTGCCGTATAACAGTCTTAGATACAAGAGCTAACTTCTGTACAAACGTTTATGTCCCACTCGAAAGCAAATAATATATGCAGATATAAACGAGTAATACATTGTATTTACTAAGGGAGAAGCGATGCATCGATATTTGACTCAACAATCCCCGATACATTAAAGTTGGTATGGGACCGTATCATTTTGCAAATGACTTCAGTTATCTGCAAGGTGAAAATGACCGACATGTTGGCTAAATAGCTTGACTATTAGTAAGTGCGGCGTAAAACAACAAAGCATATCTCATCATTACTATAGGGTATCGCGATATATATCTGATAGTTCTCCTTTGTATTTACACACATACGTCAGTGTTTGTCTGTACAGTCAACTGCGAGTGTAATGACTTCAAATTCATCTCGATGTATTCCAAGTAACAACCGACCCAAATGGACTTATTTGTTTGTTTTTACCAAAATCGTAAGGCATTTGTGCAACGTTCGCCCAGATTTGATTTGTTAAACCAGTCGTGTTAATTTTTTGTTATAAATGATGATCTTAAGACATCTCCGCTCAAAACGATTTCCAATTACATTTGCAAAATATCAATCCGCGACCAAATGAAATTAGAATTGTTCATATAATGTATAAAATTAGTTTAATTCAGTGTTGGAATAGAAAGAATTGTAAATGAATCAGAAAGTAATTCATCATGCTTATCTCTTTTGTCTAAAGAAGCCATGTGCGGCCTTTGAATTAAACACGATAAAACCTTAACACAGTCAAACAGATCGATAGAGCAGAGACACATTAAAAGTTCTCAGTTTTTAACACAACCTTTTCGCCAGAAGGCTAAAAAAAAGACTGCGGGGTCCCCGAGGAGAGCCTAATATCTGATCGAGGGCCCTGTCTATTGCATTCGGCTTAATATCTTGTTTATTAGTCCTCTATAACGATCGTAAGGGCTTCGACAATGGCGGACATCGTCATTCTGTGCGGAGCTGTAGCGTAAATAGTGAACAGGCGCGTAGTGACAGATGGTGTTTAACGCGCGTAACAATGGCGGTTTTTTGTTTCCGGTAAGACACATTGTTGTGTGTACCTGGGCCGCCAGAGTGATTTGTCACTACAACTGTATTGTGATCGTATTGGACAGAGGTGAGAGGCTTGGGATATCCTTCTCTCGCGCACGCTTCAACACCATGGGTGATTTCACGCTTCTCTGATCCAGTGAAAACGGCTATTGTTACGGCGCACGCCGAAGTGCCTCTTCAAAAGCCGCTGAAAGGAGCCACGCGGCTGAGCAATGGGCTACGCGTTTTGTTGGCCTACATCAAAAAGACAAAATGCTACAGATAAGGTTTTCCGGAGATAGGGGGTATTTTATGATTGACTTGATAGGGGTGTAGTTTTATTATCCCAACAAAGCATTATTATGACTATTTGTATTTTGTGTCACCTCAATGCATCTTTGATCTTCAGTAATGGTGATAAAGTAATTGGACATTCTGTGGTGAAAACTCGGACGTCTCGGCAATAACCACAGGCATCCTCGCTGGTCAATTGTCCGAAAGGGAAGATCCTTTAATACCCGTTGATATGGCATCATTAGCCGAAATAACGTTTGACAGTCCCTATAGTTAAACGCTAGCAGCTTAACTAAACGCCCCGAGATAAATAATGAGCTATTAAGTTATGGTGTTCTTGGATTACAAGATGGAACATGAATAGTTAAGGGCCAAACATATGGCAACGGAACTTGGAATGTAATGTTATGTGGAGTACCTGAGGGTTCCATCAGGGCTGGTGGTTAAGGCACGGTTGGATGTCTGTCCGTATCATTAAAGCTAAGCATTTAATGCCAAGGCGTCATCTTGACTGCTGGGTGGATGTAAGGGTCTGGTTAGTAGCGTAAGGAGGGCATGGTTTTGTGCGGTTCTTTCAAGCGAAGTCAGTCAGTACAGAGTGTACCTATATGGTTTGCTGATTGGATGGAATAGTAATTGGTACTTTGGCAGGTGGGCTTGGTTTCTGATGGGTTAATAATTATATAGGAACCACAAAAGGGTTTGTGACACATGCTGTGCTGTGTTACTACAACGTTGATTAGTTTACTTAAAATAGGCTCGCTACAGCTATGACCTTTGCATGTTCAAATGTAGCTAATAGTCGTATCATTTAGTACACTTTAATCGAGATGAAATAATGATTGAGGATTATCATTGAAGCAAAGCTGAATATCATTGAAGCAAATAAACAATTTACTGAGTTGAGCTTAAATGCAGTTTAATTACGTAGTTTTGTTCAATATTTTGTTAAGTGATATTTGATAGAAGTTTGAATTAGAACCCGTGATGTGGATGACGGAAACGATGGAAAAATAATAGCTGCGAACGATAATGATCAACTGTGGTCTGTTTGCATTATATTACGAATAACTGAGGAATTCTTAATTTTCTTTTTCTTTTATGGTTGAAGCGGGAGGGCATTTCCAAATATAGGACGCATCAGTGACAAAAACATGATGTCCGATGCAATTCCCTATGTTGATTTGTACGGTATGTTCCCGTGTTGTTTTATGAACAATTGACTTGTATTTGCATGTGTTTGTGAAGTATGCGTCGGATGGGGCAGGATACGCTCACTTTTTCGCGAATACCTGGTGTCATCACAATTTGATAGTGATTCTAGATATCTTATGATTATGGACAATTTACTGGGTTTTTTTGCCTTTTTTTTTCTCTCTGGGATTTGGGAACTATCCAACCAATATGTGGCATCACGATCAACTTGCCTAAAATTTAGGCCACAAATAGACCAAAAAAGTATATACTTGATTTAAATTAAAACTTTGGTACAATATGTCGGAGTCTCCAAACACAATTAAATTGTCCAGAATGAATATTGAATACAGAGTAGTAGCAGCAGCTTCAGGGACACCCAAAAGCTGAAATAGATGGGACTGGGTATCTATACTAACACACTTTGAAACCTTACATCCTGGTTCTTCAACGTCTATATAATCGCCATGGTGTCACTGGTTTGCTTCGAGCAGAACATTGTGAAGCAAAGTGTAAACTAAGATGATTCCTTGAATGATGGTTATCAGGGCAATATTGTGGGCTATTTGGTTTTCCCTTACCAGTGTTACCCTTGTGACAATTACCAAAGATGTAAGGATATTTCCGTTTGGAATACAGTAAACTACGGTTATAACGAACTCAAAGGGACTACTAATTTTAGTTCGTTATAACCGTAGTTCGTTATAAGCATATATACAGCATAACTACAGCAAATAGTCGGGATAAAAAAATAAGTTCGTTATATCCGTCAGTTCGTTATAAGCGTGTTCGTTTTAACCGTAGTCTACTGTATACTGTTTTACAATGTTTCTATTATTTTGGGTGGAGAATATTATGACATGTGTACAAACATAATTCAAAAGGACTCACCGTTTATTAATTTGACTCCCAAGATTTCGTAATACACTAAAGTACGTTTATAACGAACACGCTTATAACAAACTGACGGATATAACGAACTGATTTTTATGTCCCGACTACTAGTATTTGCTATAGTTATACATAGTTATGCTGTATATATGCTTATAACGAACTACGGTTATAACAAACTAAAGTTAGTGGTCCCTTTGAGTTCGTTATAACCGTATTTCCATAAACAATGGTTATTAAATGAATATCTTCCTTGTTATCTTAGCTAATTATGTCTCAAATTCATGTATCGATATTTTACAACATATACACATGTATACCTGTAACATGTTTTGAAAATACTATTTGATGTATTTTCTAGTTTACTAAACACGTTCTATAACGCATGTAGATGCGTTTATCATCGATCTGTTTGATCTATTTGTGATCCTAGCTACACAAAACTGAATATTTTTAATTGTCACGAGTACATTACTTGCCTTTCCAGATTGAAAGGTCGGTACCACTCTATAATATTGCTGTCT